CAATCACCCCTGAGGGCTTCTCCACCTCCCCCTGCTCCTGGGGGGCAATCGGGGCAGCAGGTGCGACTTGCACCCGCTGATGGTGCCAGCCCCAATCGCTCCGCGCCAGCGGCAGTGGCGGGAGAGGGGCTGCCAGCAGACAAGGGACTGGGGGCTGCGGCAGGAGGGGCTGGGTGGGGGTGTGGAGGATGGGCCAAGACCTGCCCCTGTTCCCACTGCAGCCTTGCAGCCCACAGTTCCTTTCAAGGTGCAAGAATTCGTGCACTGGGCCCCTAGTTTAGATATATTGCATTTGAGATTGCGCTATCGAATTTAAAGACCACATATAGAATTTGAGAATCTGAGATGTTAAGGAGGGTTTTGTTTTATCCAACTTTGGTTTTCCAGAGAGGATGCATTCATTATTCATGAATAAGTATATGACATAGGGTATTTTCTTTAGGATTCACAGCATCAGTATATTGTGTTTTTTGCACTTTTTTCATTTTCAAGCATATTGAGATTTAATATATCATCCTACTTGAAGTTTAAAACACTTCCAAGCAATGGCATAGGCATTCCTGATCATTGTCTTGAATATTAAGGCACAAATACATGTGAAATGTCTCCTCTTGTATAGTAGTTGTTTTTTTTTGTTTTTGTTTTTTTTTTTTTTTTTTGGAAAGTTAAGGAACATAGAAGAAGGTGTAGCCCTTGATTTAATAAAAACAACATCTAATATTTATACATCACTTTAATACATAAGTCCACACTGTATTATTGGTGCATGACAGAAAATTCTAACTTTGGTGGGGATGCTTTTTTTTTTTTTCCAAGTCAAGAAACTCAGGCTTAGAAGAATGAGAGGGCTTACTGGATGCTGAATAGCTAATGAGAACAAACCAGGACAAAGTCACGAACTCATCCAATCCAACCCCATCCTAACCTGAGAATCACATTTTCAGCCGGGAATAAAGGTTTCTTTCTTCAGGCACAACACATTTATATTTGATGTTTGGTATTACGTACTTGAATGTCAAATAGAAAGTTTGATCATTTGTATCATACCACATTTTAGACATTCATTTGGTAGCCCATGGTAGTATATTTTGCCTGCGTAGTGTACTTCTTTCTGCATTTTCATTTCCGTGAATTTTGACAGCATTAGTATTTTCCTTTCTCACACATCTTCCCAAAGCATGCTCCTATTGGGGTCATTAGCAAAAGCTCCTTTGCAGTTTTAATACAAGTAATCAGAAGTTTGAGTGGCACTTTCACTGGAAGGAAAGAAAGACTGGTCTGCTATGGTGCATATGATGCCATTGTAATTTAACTTGGCTATTAATAACTGGAAAGAGCAAAGGGAGGCCAAATATTACAGGCATGCCATTTGTGCAGCTTTGCCAGGAAGCGGCAGTTTAACATTCCCAGGGAGCCACTAGTGTATTCCCCATAGATCCCTGGGGGAAGGGACTGGGCAGTAGGAGAATAGACTTATGCCCAGTAAAGTCTGGGTGACACAGGAAAGGTACTTGCCTGTCAGTCACACCTGGAAACAGGTCATTGGCCAGAGCAGGCACAGCCACTCAAGCACAGGAAGATTTGGGATATTTAATCCCCTAAACAAAGAAATTCTCTCTCTTGGCCCTCTCACTCTCTTATGTTTTCAGGAAACTTGGGACTCTTGTCACAAGGGGTGCACTCTCTTGGCTCAGGGCCATGTGGACCCCACACAATGGACTGATGGACTGCAACCAGCCTGATGCTAAACCAGATCCAACTCCACCATGGAACAGACATTTTGGACACTGGCTTTGCTTGTAGCTCTACCGAATCCCTACCTGCACCTCTTCCAGGACTGGATTAAGGAAAGTGGGACTTTGGAAACCTAAGAATATAATTCCATTCAAATAAAAGTCACTCCTCCTCCCATGTGAGTGTCAGAAAATTATTTTTCTCCAGATATGGTAAGGACCCCATCCCAAGCACTCAGTGGGGAAAGGGATCCCGCACTCTCACCCATAACACATATACCGTTTTAGTAGTAATGCCTACCATGCCATAGACCAGTGATGGTGAACCTTTTGAGCTCAGCGTGTCAGCATTTTGAAAAACCCTAACTTAACTCTGGTGCCGTGTCACATATAGAAATTTTTGATATTTGAACCATAGTAAAACAAAGATTTATATTTTTGATATTTATTTTACATATTTAAATGCCATTTAACAAAGAAAAATCAACCAAAAAAATGAGTTCGCGTGTCACCTCTGACACGCATGTCATAGGTTCGCCATCACTGCCATAGGCTTTGAAAAGGACCTTTTTTGGTTGTTTACATAATTTGACTTTCACCTTCACTTGCAGCTTTTCACATCAATATAAAAGGGAAGAAAAAAGGAAAGACATACAGCTAATTTTTACAAAATCCTTAAAATTTGGAAATTTACATCAAAATTAAAATGAATTTGAAGCTTTCTTGACTAAACAATACCCTTTAAAATTCAATTTTAGAAAACTGTCACACAATAATATATGCTTTGTGTATACATGTAAACATCAGATTCATCACTAAGGCTGAAAAATCGATGTGCAGAAGCTTGGGAATTATATGTTGTCGCTATCAAATCTCCTTTTGTAGCTGTGATTTGTATATGTGCTTAGAAGAATAGTTTTGCTCTGTTTTGTTTTACTAGCATAGCATTTATGTAACTTGCAAAGCTTTATGCTTAGTAAAGCTAAGAACAATATAATATAATGTTAAACCTATGGTACGGCTTTATAGTCCTATAAATTGTTAAATACACAGCAAAGAGTTGGAGTTTCTTTTTTGTTTTATAACATGTTGGGAGTCATTCAGGAGGCACATTCCAATAATCTAAACATCACTGAAATTTTAATAACTGGATATTTTCCACCACGTGCACTAAATAGTTCTTCTAGCCCAAACAATAGTTCGGCTGGACTAAGAGAGGAAGAAGCAAACTTTTTCTGTAAAGGACCAAACAGTTATTTATTTATTTATTTATTTATTTATTTATTTATTATTTTATTATTTTTTTTTGCAGGGGGGTATTTTCAGGCCACATACCTCTTGGCCCCATATCCTCTCTTCTTCTTTCATGTTATCATTTTTTTAAACAACACTTGAAAAATGTAAAAACCATCTTAGCATACAGACTTTAAAAGAAGTGAGAGATCTTAATTTCTTTAACAGGCAGGGACCAGAGTGGGCTGTGGGCTCTAGTTTGCCTGCCCCTGAGCTAAGAGAATCTTTCAAATTAATAAATCCTCCCTCGGCCCATATATGATCCAAGTCTAAAGTCATCAGAAGGCTGTGCAGCCACATGGCACCTAAAAACCAATATCCTTTG